CATTTTAACTTTTATTTATTGCTCAATCAGAAGTCAGAAATTGCGTTTTTTTTTTTTGCACCTCAAATCCAGGGGGGGGGGGCAGCTGCCCCCCCTGCCCCCCCGGAGGCTACGGCTCTGACGTTTTCAGTTATCTTTAGGTATCTACCAGACAAGCGTTTTTCGTTAACCTCAAACCTGCAAAGGTACTGGCAATAGAGACGAACATCACAGTGTTAGAGCTGACATACATGTCGTGGGGAGTCACTGATTTTACCAGAATAGAGTGACAATGAAATAAAAACGTTCATACTAGTTATTTCGACCGTAGTTGCCGCCTAACCTCGGCTCTTCCGGAATTAATTGAGTGGATGGCACTTAAGTCCGGCGTACCTTTGAACTCACACCTTCATTGCATAGCAGTGAATTTGGAAGGTTCAATCTGAAATTAAGCAAAGTGAAATTGAGGAAATTGTGAGTAGTAAAATCAGTCCTATTTTCAGCAATGAATAATGACCAAAAACTGGACCTACGAAGCGAGTGCCACTTAACAATTACGCGATAAAGAGCACTTGATTACTATCTAATACCTTCGTAAATTGATTCAGAACACACAGACCTGAGACCTTTCCCAAAATGACCGTATGACAAAAGGTCGAGTCACTGGTCCATCCAGGCCATTTAAAAGTCCATCAGTTGCTATTGTGCATGTAAGGGATCATTCCCATTACCCTAGATCTAGCTTACTAGCAGGATCGATCTATCTCCGAAGGGATTCTCGCTAAATTGCTATCAGTTTAAGCGTGCATGAAAGTAAATTACCCCCTCCCCCTTCAGTGGGCGTGCCAGACATTTAAGCTGATTAAACTGAATGCAATTGAACAAGAATCCCCTTGGAGTTAGATCGACCCAGCTAGTTCGGTAGGTTTATGGGAACCCTGTCTAAGTTCCAGTATCTGAGTATTATACATTCATGTAGTTCTCAATACCTCCTTTATTTATGTGGATATTATGTTCTGAATTTTGTGGTATTAAAGTTGAGATCAATTTTATAATTAAAGTGCTTTTGTGAAACGAGAACCAGATGACGGTGATGACCATAGATAGCCTTAAACGAAAAAAAAACCCCTGAAACTCAATGTGGATATAAAGAAAAAAAACAAGATCGAAGGAGAAAAAAATTATTGTACTTTTATACTGATAGTAAATTGTGTATGTATTCTGGCTTAACCCTTATGCGAGTAGAATATAACATGGGCAAAATTGCCATTTAGATCTAAGAAATGTGCTTTCTTGGTCACGCTTTTTGTTGGCATAAAAGTGGAACATTGTGTTTTATACTACGATTGCGGTTAATGACTGGTCGCCGTCTGGTTGTGTTAGGTGAGACGAGGTTGTTCAGGCGATTGCTACATGTCAAGCACAATGGCCCAGTTTCAACCATAGCTGGAAAGCGTTATCCTTTGGACAACACTGACCATTGGATAAAATTTTTATCATCTAGATTGCTTTTCTCAGAACAAAGTGGTGTTTTACAAAGGTTAAGTAAACACTATGATTACTGTCCAGTGGAGAAGAAATATATCCAAAACCATACATGGAAAGTATTGTTCCCAAAAAACATTATTGGTTATTAATACGATATATCAGGATACCAGGACTCGGTTAAAATAACTGACGCCTTTCTTCCTGAATAACTAACGATACATCATCCCTAAACAACAGCCATCCCAATCCAGGAAAATGAATTTTTTGTTGAATACAGGCCATTTTATATCAAAGCATTCAGTAATATTTTTTTTCCACATAGCTCAGTATTTTTATCACAACCGCTATTACCTTTTTCTTCTTTTCCCTCTGGGGATGTTTTAATCAGTTTATCGGTAAAGTAGTGAAAAAAGGGCGTCTATTTATCACTTAAGAGTGGGGACTCCAGAATATGTTACTAATAATTGGTTATTTTTTATGAGCTTCACTTATTTCTCCGACCAGTAATAATAATAATAATAATAATAATAATAATAATAATAATAATAATAATAATAATAATTATGTTTATTCAGCCAAATGAAACGTGTATATGAAATATTTACAATACAAATTAAACTAAAAAGTCACTGAAGTTGTTTAAAAAGCATTGGCTGCAGATAGAAAAAGAATTCATAATTATTGATATAGATAATGATGTAATTTGTTACGAAGCTTGTACATAACAGTAATACCATTTTCTCCAGTGTTTCTAATTTTATGACGAAATTTAATTGCTGAGATGCACAAAACGAGTGCAGTTTATAAGAACCACACTTTACTTATAATGATAATTCGATGCAGTTTACATCGCTTTATTTCTCGAAGTCCTCAACGTTGCCAACTGAATTGTTGTCCTCTGTTGCTGTGGAATCAAAATCCTCATTAGCCTCGTTCGGGGCAAAGACAAACTTTTCCAAGTCGGCGTCGGCAGGGATTTGCATTTCCGGCGGGTCGTAGCCCCGGATGTAGCGGCACTTCCGGACCTCGTCCCACACGTAGTCAGTGTCAGTCATGTCGTCACAGTCCAGAAACAGAGGCTGGCGTTCCTTGGTCGAGTGTCCATCAACCACTGAACCGACGCTGCTGTCTCTCCTGTTAAGTGTTGGGCGAGTGGGGTGAGTGCCGGAAGGCGGGTTTGGGTTCCGCTGTCGCGCGGAGCTGCTTTGAAAAGACGCTGATGAGACTGCCCGTGCCTCTAAACCAGTGGCCTCCTCAGGCATTTCATCTACCCATCTTTGTACCTTGTCAAGTCGAAATGAGACACGTTTTGTTGGTTTCACTTCCGGTTTCACTTTCGCTTCATCCGGGTCGTTGATACAGATATCACTGTCGTAATCGACACCATCCTTCTTTTCAAGTGAAGCATGTTTTGCATTGGTTTTGTCTGATGACAACTTTGTTGGTGAATTGTCTGTGGCATTGTCTGTATTCCCCTGGGGAACAAAGACGTGGACAAACGTGCGCTTTGATTTGCGTGCTTTTATTGGACGTGTGTCTGATTCCGTCTTTGGAACTTCGCATACCTCCTCGTCAGAATTACACGGTGAACTGTGAGGAAGCGACTTTCGCCTATTTCTCTGTGAAATTCTCCCTTTTGGAAGATCAATTTCATCCACTGATAAGCGTCGTGTTCTCTTCTCTGATTGTGTTCTGTTGTATCCATCGCTCAAAGAACTGATCGAGGTGAATGACGTCACAGGAGGCGGTTCTTCCAGCGAATGCGCAGATTCAGCAGTATGACGTGTCTTAAGAAGATAATTCTGTATAGATTGCGCGGCAAGCGTTTCTTTCGGACAACTGATGTCAGTGGCGTTTTTTATAGGAAGTGAAAATGTATTGCTTAAAGAGCTCACTGACTGCGCCCGTTCTCTCTCTTTCGTCTTAATGCGAACAGAACTTTCAATGGTGTTCATGGACTTTAAGAATTCAGCCTGTCGTATTTTACGCTGTTCCTCCTTCTGTCGTAAATCTGTGATGAGTCTCTGGTAACTAAGCAGGTTGACGCGTGCACGTGCCGACGCCTCGCGCTGTCGCAGCTCGCGGTAGGAAGGCCGATGGTATCTCGCGCTTAGGTTTCCCACAATGCTCTGCGACACCACACTGCCCTCTGGTGGCGGTATCCCTTGCTCATAATCCAAGGTGCTCTGAGATACGGAGTGCGGTCGGTCATCTGGAAAAGAAAAGGAGAGACGAAGGATCGCTTTCTCCAAAAATATCAGGGTCATTTTTTCTTAATATTTTTTAACTAAATGTAACTTTCAGAACAGTGGTTTAAAACGACTCATACACTTAAGGCTCATCCCCAATGAAACTATCGTTCTAAACAGATCGATCCACCTCCGGTGGGGCGTTTTCACACCTGAGTGCTGAGTAGTGCACATTCCCGTCTATGCGCTGACTTTGGACCCTCTTTGCGGGAAGGGTGACATAGATGATCACTCACAGGAATATCATAGACTGGGTTCCCATGCCTAGATCAATCCAACAGGATCGTTCTTACTCTACGGGGATTCACGCTAAATTGCTATCAACTTATGCGGCTAAAATGTGTGTCACGCCTTTCGAATCAGCTAGGGGGTAATTAACTTTCATGCATGCTTGGCCTCCGGTAGTTAATTACCCCCTACCAGCTTCAATGGGCGTGCCAGAAATCTATGCCGCTTAAGTTAATTGCAATTAAGTGAAAATCCCCTTGGAAATAGTTCGATCTAAAGTTAGTACGATAGGGTCTGGGAATGGTCTCATATACTCTACATTAAAACTGGTAGTGATTTGGACTAATTTCTCTGACTTACATATTATGTTTCATTTGCTACGTGTTATTCTGTGGTAGAAACCATACTCTAGATTGGAAAATAGTACATATTTTATTAGGAATGACACACACACAAAAGAAAAAAAGGGGGGAAAGGAAAAGAGAGAGGGACGGGCGCACGCAAAATCCCCACCTTTTACTTTATATAAAGCGTGCTCTGATTTTAGGCTAAAAGTAATTGATTGGAAATTACTTGAAAATCGTGTCATGATATGTCAATTGAAGGAAAAATTATCTGTGATATATTTCGAAACGATAACGTTTACGCTACCTTCAGAAAAATGTTCATTCTCCGTCTCAGTTGTACGCGGTCGTTTTTTCGTCCGGCTCAGGTTTAACAACGCAAGGCGAAGTTCGTCGGTTTCTCGGTCTAATTTCACTTTGACTCTTATTCGATCAAGTTCTATGGCCTTGAGTCGCTTCTCTAAGGATCTCCCAGGACATACTTGTTCTGCTTTCAAATTGATCAATCTGTCGTCTGCGAATTTTCGTCGATTGCATATGATTTCAGGAAGATTCATTGTTTTACATGGGTGGTCAGATCTTATTCCCTTCTCTGAAATGCCCTTTTTAATGTCTTAAATTTAACGTCGCCTTGATGTGTCTGATGCCTCTTAAAGCTTATACAAAATTCTACCCTCGGCGTCCTTTGATTTTTACTCCAGTTTCTAAGATTAAGCGTGTCACCTTTTTGGCTCTGTTTACAGAGAGACGCTGTAACAAGAAAATGTCACCCAGGGTGACTTACTGTCAGATAACTGGAGTTAGAAACAAGACTTCAATGTGGTATGAAGGTCGTCCATCCCAGCTTTTAGGTAGATACAACTTGCCGTTCGTTCTAAATAGATCGATGGGATCAAGGAGTTTAAACAGAGATAAATCTACTCCTGAAAAGAAAATAAGGTGGGATTCAGCGTCCCGTCTTGAGGATAATTCTCACTCGAATTAAATGTAAAACGCTTCCTTTTCTGTTAATTCCATGTTTTGAGAAAACTTGACGTCACGACGGGCACAGGTGTTATATAAACAAAACAACTGAGAAATAAACACTGTCGTTTTTGTCCTAACCGAATTCTCCTGTATTTCACGCTATCAATATTCAACAAAAAATCTTGATTTCCTACTCGTGTTGCTGTGAACACAGTGAACGTTCGTCCCCCTACTGTGAGAGAACGAATTTCTACACCTAATAGACCAAGTAATGAATCGGGAAGAAAAAAAGGGGCTTATTTTTCCGTTTTATTTTCGTTTATAAGATGATCGGTTTACCGGATACGTGCATCCCGTTGGTCTATCAGGTAGTATCGGGTGTGCCACTGAACAATATTAATTGTGTTGAAAAAAACACGCGCTGCGGTGGCTTGTAAAGGGGGTCCACGCAGGACGATTTTGTTGTTAAATAGGTCATTTGTTAAAACGTTTTTGCATTGCACCTGGAACTTTTTTTCGGAAAAAAATCCGGTGTCTGGTTTTTAGGAAAGGGGGAGCAAATTGACATGGTCAGTTGTCTCTTAGAGTTGTTTTCTTTCTTTTCTCATCAGATGAAGTATATTTTAACTCGTTTGGTAATTTCACCCCAAGGCATCCAATTATCATTTGAAAAAGAGGCGCTGCTAGGCAGAGGTCTTTGTCGTGTTATTTATCTAGATTTCCATAGCAACATCAGCTTAAGCCACTCGTTCGTTAAAAAATACGATAATATTTTATAAAAGAAAAAAATATGATAACAAAGCCTCGCCCGAGGTATTACAGTTAATAACTTTCAGATAAATTTGGCGATCCAGTACAATTTATTTCGTTGCCTGTACTACATACAGTGCTTGTGTTCGCTTTAAGTATCAAATTTATGTTAAGCCAGGCTATGAATGGCCCATGGTTCATTCGACATCTTTTTACTAAAGTTAAGACGACATTTAACTGGTAATTCTAGAATCAAATTTAAAGCCCTTGTGACATTACAATCAGCCAAGCGAGGAATGTCTAGATATATGGTCGTTAACAACAGATTATAACAGATTACCATTCATAGATAAAATCTTAAAGCTACATTTAACAACGTATCCATTTCATGTTTCTTCATTAATCTATTTAGTGTCATAGATTTGTAAAAGACATTAACTGAAATGCACAGTTAAATGTATATAATGCCGCGTAACCCATTAGGCCAGACACAATTGATGGATTGGTAAATGTGCGGCGACTCTTTTTCGAACGGGCTAGGGTTGGTAGTTGAAGTTTGTTGGTAATTTTTTTTTTTTTGACATGTATGCAAGCTTTTGGCGTCGGTCAATTATCCCAGCTTTGGGTCAATAAATTGTAGAGTTGACCTCAACCAATCAATAATTGTTTATTATTATTATTATTATTATTATTATTATTATTATTATTATTATTATTATTATTATTATTATTTGGGTGAAAATGGCAAATTCACTGAGTGGGCGATTTTAGGGCATAAAAACATCTTTTTCCCCACGAACAAACGCAATGCCCAGTGTTTCATTAAAAAATGAAAATAATATCTGATTTACTCAACATTCGGGGGTGTTGCGCTCGTGAAGCATTTTAATAATGTTGTGTAGCCGAAGTTTTTAATCAAGGAAGTCTGTTGGCATGATTTCTGCAGCATGAGGTGAGACGAAAGCTAAATAGGTTTTATATTTATGTGCTTAAGCGCCTGGAAATAGACGGGTAAACTACAGACGCGTGAAACCTATGACTGGAAAATATACAGGCATAATAAACAACAGTTAAATTAAGAGTTGGTTACGCGAACTATTCAACTGTGCTAAAAATCAAATAGGGCAAAAAAAGAACAAGTCTTGTTTCACTCACTGGTAACCGTAGCTTAATGTTGTGTAACAACAAGTCGTTCCCATAGCAACAAACCTAAACGGTTCATGGTTTGTCTTGTTTTTGTCAATATTGTGGGTTAGAATAGTTTTTACAGTTAAAAAAGCATTTTATGTTCGTGGGATCTTTTTGGTTTTATTTTTTTTCTTTACACTAGTGTAATATTAAATTAAGTTCACACATATATATCTCAAATACGAGTTATATTTTTTCTGTCTTGCTCTAAAATAGTAGTTTTGCTTATATTTATTCGCGTGAAAATGCAAGAAACATAATTTTCTTGGTCGTGAAAAAGCATACATGTGTATTGTACATAACACGAATGGGTTTTAAACTCGACAGACTGTTGTCTGAGTGGTTCTGGAAAATACACTCAAGGAAAATCGGTCACATTATTTTTATTTTACGCACGATTTACGGTCTCTAAATAAAACTGAGGCCTGCGTGCCTTACGTGCTTGTTTGGAGGTACAAGGTTTACAAGCATATCACAAATCACACGCCGTTGCTACGGGAACGAGCAAATATAAGCAAAAGTGTCAGGAAGCCATGTTTCCGCGTGTGACCTCTTGAACACGATTTCATGAGAAATGTTATCCTTCATCCATCGTTATTTGTTACACAACAACAGGAAACGTGATACGATATCGACAGAAACATGTAAGAGAAACCTTCTTTAAGCAAGAACTCTGAGAAATGTTATCCTTCATCCATCGTTATTTGTTACACAACAACAGGAAACGTGATACGATATCGACAGAAACATGTAAGAGAAACCTTCTTTAAGCAAGAACTCTGTAATTTCGGTCCATAAACAAGTGTAGAACGTTAGAAGTTTTCAAAGTCCCCCCTTAGCCACCCCACCACACCAACCAAGCCACAACCCCCTTAGGACCTAGCTGTGGTTATCGTTACTCCCCCCCCCCACGTCCCCCCCCCCCCAGCCCCCCACCACACACACACACACGCACACTTCTCCCGCTTCTTATTTTGAATAAATTACTCCTTATAAAAATTACCAACAGCTTTTAAATTTAGGTTTCTTTCCGGACAGAAAATGTTCCGAAATATTTTAATATTAAATTAAAATTAGTGGAAATATTTCTGTTTCCTGACAGACGGGATTTGGTTTTCATTGAAAACTTTTCGACACAGCGAGATATGAGAAATATCGGGTGGGCCATTTCTTCTAAGAATTTCCTATCTAATTATTGTCTTTCTAAACCTGTGGAGTACTTAAATAATTTTGAATTAATAGTATAACTATTTTGCATTACGAAGCACCTTTAAAATTTGTTACCAAAAATTTAAAAAAAAAATGGAAATATAATGAGGCATTTCTTGCAGAGAAATAGCGTTTATTCCGAGACTCTACTTGAATTGTGTGCTATTCATTCTTTAAAGTTCTGAGAACACTCACTAAGTGTCGGGAACAGCGAATATTTTACGATAAGGTTTAATTATGAAAGGGCTCTAAATTTTGACACCGTTCTGCATTATGGGATTTCAGTTTGCATTTTTTTTTTCATTTTGGAAGATACTGGACTCAATCAAAACTTTGGTAAAACGGACTACAATTGCCCTTTCCTTTACTCTTACGTCGACTTTTTAGTAACCAATCATAAAACGGCCGTTTCCTTTGAATGATATTTTTTATACTCAAAAAGCAAATCGTAACCACATCCATTTCAGTGAAATCGAGGCTTGATCCATAACAATAATTCACATTTCAACCGTTATTTATTTCTTACAAATGTACACTTTTTTTTATTTGCTAAAATCAACTATTTTACTACACATCGAGGCGGCAATCTCGAACAGCAAAACCCTTTCAAAATATTCCTAATTTGCCAGCCAAAACATTTTATTCATTGATCTAATTATGAGGTAAAAAGATGCATATATACTAGACTGTTATCAATGACAGTTAAATATGACTGCAACACTGACAGCGCTTTATGATTTGAAAAAAAATTAATAAAATTGTTAAAACACTGAATTTACAAATGATACACTTGAAAGTCAAAATTATTTACAGCTGGCTTGGAACTTGGGCGGCTTAGAAACTATATTGCCTTTTAACAGTGAAACTGCCGTGATGACAATGTCAGTCTTTCAGTTAATCAAAATATATTACACATTTCAAAAATAAATAAAAAGATAATATAATGTGGGCACACTTTCACCAAGTATTGGACAGAGAGGAAAAAAGCAATATTTTCTTGACGTTTTCAGGAGTGAAATGGATAACATGATCTCACGTGAGTGCGCACACGAAAACCAACCAACCAACTTTAGTGTACACCATCTAACAAATCAGAGGAGTAAAATATGTAGCTTACAGACATACCACGTCAATGTAGAATTATATACAAACATCAAGTCTTCCACTGAGCTTTCCCCTATGTGTTCCATTCTACAGGTCCTGAGCTTGTTTCAGTGAAAGATGAAATCCTGGAGTGAGACATCTGTACATAGGATATGAACATGATGAAGATTAACTGTAGTTTCTCAAGATTATCGACCATGCTGGGGGGAAAGGAGGGTTGAAATGTAATATTTACAACTTAGAAAAGTACCCCACTAAAGTGTCTTCTCCTCCCCTATGTCCATAACATATTATTCTATACCTTATACCTGGCATTTCATAAACCAGGTAATTTTTCCCCAATTCCCAATGATATATACATCAATTATCAGAGATCATTACATAAATGTAATCTGGGTAAGAATATCAATGATACAGAAATAAAAACGTCGTAGATACAAAAACAGGTTTGGAACTCCTGTATAAATGCAACTTTGCCATCATAAGATATATCTACCAAATAGAATACCCTCTCACAACTTGCTTCTAACTCAGAAAATTGTACACATTTGTTATTTTCTTTGTAAATCATCATCTGGCTTATTAACTTATGTTAAATTCTCTAACAAAAAGAAGTCTAAATGATTAAACATAATCCTGGTCATGACTCAAGAAATACCTATCAAAGGACTCTACTAGAAATTATGAAAGTCTAATGGGATTTCTACTTTTCTAATATAGAAAAGCTTTTCTTTATGGAGCATGGTGCAAACTTCTGAAACTGATGCCATTGATAAAGGTCTTAATTCAATCATACAAAGTTTAAGTTCAAACTGAAAGCCTGTTTAGATTTTAACATTCCCTTTTTCATTTTAAAACCATCTTTCAAGAATAAACTGGAATACCCACTCCTGCTTGTGCAAGGATACGTGTATGTATTTCTGAAACGTGACCTGAACATGATACTGAAAACAATGGTCCTTGTTAAACAGTTAAACATCACATTTGGTACGCTGGGAACACACGACTTCTGACACACCACTGA